TGGATATGTCATTTAATTAAGTGTGTGTAAACTGATCTGAACATCATGATTATTAGGGGAGAGTAAAATGTGTATACCTTTTGGCAGCCCATGTAAGCGTCCAAAAGGTTGGAACACTGAGGATGAGCTATAATTTTGGCTTTTAAAGCTTCAATTACTTCACCACCAGCAGAAGGAGAAGCTGAAGTCTCCGTACTGTCTTGATGATGATTTTGAACCGTCTGATGATGATTACGAATAATCGAAGGATAATGAAACGTATGGTGATTATGATGATGTTGAGATGTACTTCCTCCTTCTGTTTTCACTATCATTGGATCATAACAATCTCCACCTCTTCCATAAATAGGGGCTGCACCACCACCAACAACATGACTTCCTCCATAAAAAAAATGACCTCTTTGACCTCCTGAATTCTCTCCAGCTACTTGATTATTATAATTATTCTCCATTAAATAAGAAAAAGACAACCCTAAATCAAGATGATAACAACTAAATAAAACCCTAAACAATAACTACTAATTCAAGTTTTTGCCAACGAGATCTCTTCTTTTTTGGCTAATTAAACAAACCAAGAAAATAAATTAAAATGGGGAATTGGATATTATTTTTGCACTAAAGAAGTAAATAAACTTATTATTATCAAAAGATAGAAAAGGGAAGGGATCTTAGAAGATTATTATGGTGAGAAAGGGAACAAAAAAAGGGGGGTAGATAGTGGTGTTACTGGTAGCGGCTGCGTAGGGTGATAAGACGTTCTTCCTTGAAGAATATATATATATATATACACATTGGAAAAGATATTAAATTCTACTCACCTTAAATGGAAAAGCAAGAAAGACCACTAAATTATTATAAAGAAAACAGTTAGTTACATAGTACCTCTCTCCACTTTTTCTTTTATAGTTATTCTTAATTACTTGTTCATTTTGACAAATCAAAAAAAGTTTTTAAAAAATTATTTATTATACCCTTAATTAAATGACTAATTGTTTTTAAAAATGTAGAACTTTTCACCCACTTCATAATTAATAGAGATAAAATGGTAAACTCACTATGTCATTAATTATTTTTTTAATAGGTGTGTCAATTCAAAAGTGGATAAATAATTAGGGACAGAGGGAGTATTTTATTTCTATTTCTATTCTATAAAGGGTTGATTTTTTCACTTTCTTTTTCCTTCTTTTTTTTTTTGAGAGAGTTCTTTTTTGGCGAAATGGTCTGATGGACCCTTATACTTGTTCAAATTTGTATTATGGACTCTTCTACTTAATTCCTTATCAACTGAACCCTTAAACTCAATCAAAACAAGATTTTTCAACCCCTCGTACCGTGTGTGTAATTCACTCACCCATAAATAGATGACATGTCAAATCCATGTAACATATATCAATAACATGTCATAATTATCTCTATTAACTGTTTTTTTTAATTATTAATCAAAAATATTAAATAAAAAGAAAAATAATAAAATTTCCACACACCAAATTAGCTGCCCATGTTCTTCTCCCCAACCCATTCCCACCGTGAAATAGCCTGAAGCCACCAGATCAGAAAGCCACTGCCACCGCTCTTCTTGTCGGTGAGACAATCTATTCTCTCTCAAACTTGTCTCCATCTCCACCGCACACTCTCACCATTTTCCGTTCCTCTTTTTCCAATCTCCACAAAATCAGCAACCCTAGGTCGCCGCACTACCAACTTTGGCCGGCAAACCTTTTTCGCCGTTGTGACCAACTCCTCACACCCTCACCCGCCTCACTCTCCTCTCCAATGTCTTCTTTTCACCGCACCACCGGCGACCATTGCGAACCAGGACTATCTCTCCTCTCCATTCTCTCCAGCCACCAACAAACCTCCATGACGCCTCCTGTTCCAGCGAAAAGGGATTAGCGTCAAGATCTGCTAGAGTGTAGGGAACAAAGAAAAAAAAGGATATGGCAGGGATTGGGTTATCTGAAAAAGAAGGTGAAATGGAGAAGAAGAAGATTTTTTTTAAAAAAAAAAATTATTATATTATTCTATTATAATTTTAACAACTCTTTTTAAATTAAAATATGATGTTCACTTGCTTACACGCACGTGTAATCACACACTCCTGCCAACTCATCCATTTTAATGCCACGTATATTTGGTAAACGGTCAGAGGGGTTTGATATATTATGTTTTATTGAGTTTAAGGGTTCAGTTGATAAAACATCAAGTAGAAAGGTTCATATTACAAACGCATACAAGTACAAGGGTCCACTAGACCCTTTTGCCTTCCTTTTTTTTGTGTTTAATTGATTTTCACAAAGTTTTAGATATATTACTAAAAGACGACTAGTAAAGCAATTGAATGTGTATTGGAAAAGTTATATGGGCAAGAACTTATGTGATGTAAAACATCAATAGGAAATGAATAAGAATAACATGATATTATTGATTTCGATTTATTTTGACTTGACAACGATTTTTCTTTGATTAATTTTTTTTAAATCATAAAACAACCTTTGACATTTAAACAATGTACTTCAATACTAAGAACTTAAAAACTATTTAAATTCAGTCAATTCTAATATATTTTAAGAGTATATTTGAATTACTCCCTTTTTACTTATTTAAATTATAAATTAAGTGTTTATAAGAACTTTTTAAATTTATTCAAAATACTTTTAAAAGTTCTTTTTAAGTCTTTGTTATATAAAATCTACTCGTACTACATTCATTCTGTAAGTGATATATTTAGATATCTTATAACCAAGTTCAATGGGAAGAACAAATCATATGATGACTTGTTGTGAAATGCACTATTATTAATTTTATTTGATCCCTATGATGTAAGTGCATTTATCTTATAATGATTTGTGGAGGTTGAGTCTTTGAACTCTTAATGAAAGTATGTATTTCGTATGATAAAGGGTGTCAAATTATAGAAGCACCCTTGACAGATTTCACCTATGTGAGTGTGAAAGTAGCACTTACACTTACATCTATGAGAATTGGCTTGTTATAAAAAACACTCATGAAATCAGATAACACGAGGCCGTAATGTGCTGGCTATTAAAGCTTATGTCAACACCTTCATTATTGTGTGTAGGCAATGATTCTTTATTTCCCTTAAGCAGTCGTAGTTCAAGTCTGAGACCACTACTGACTCTGGAGTAAAGATTATTGTTTTACTAAGTGAAGGTTCCATGCAGAGCACACATTTATTATGCATGATAATCTATCTTCAACTAAATATTGGTGCACTCTCTTAATTTTAATATTAAAATGAGTGGGGAATGTTGTTGTATATGCATTTTATTATTAAAATAAAAGATTAAAGCATATGTTAGTGGGTATAAATATTGTGGTAGAAGACCACTATTGGTTCTTGTAACTTATTTGACCATTAGTTTTTGTAATTGTCATGGTCATTAGTTTCTTGTAACTCATATAACTATTAGTGTTTTGTAACTTATGTAACATCTATTACATTCATCTACCTACATTACTACCCCTTATTCTACCCATTGATTATATGGAAGCAGGGGCGGACCCACCTTCGGGGTCAGCCGACACTGCTTCGTTGAAATTGTTTTGTATATATATATATATATATATATATATATATATATATATATATATATATATATATATATAAATCTGAAAAATAAAAACAGAAGTATAAATATTATATATGACACTCCTTGAACAAGGAAGTATCGTGGCTCGTGTGGTTCACGACGCGAATGAAGCAATTATGTCTCTCAGCGCACCTGAGTTCGAATCTCAGTAAGTGTGTTTTTTGCTTTAATTTTTGAACTAGAATACTACATTTAACCTACTATAAAAAATTTATTACCTATTCAAATCAGAATAGGATACGATAATAAGTTATAAAGTAAAACCTAAGTTGAAAAGAAACCTTCAAGTGTTGTTGCAGTCTGCGTTGATAGCTTGATGCTACTATCAGTTTTTCTTTAATTGTAAGTTCTCTTTTCTTTTTATCTCCCATTTTTTAGTTTTAATTGAAATTTCTTGAAATATCAACTTTTGTAGATTTAATTTCTTGAAATTGTTTAGAGTTATCTAATTTATTTAAATTTATAATTCAGACCAATTCAATGTAGAGATATTATTCTAAAGTATCTCGCAATCTTTCAAAATCAAGTTCAACACCTCAAAATTATTTTAACTTAGAAGAAGAAAACGGTAATGAGTTGGAACAAGGTCGACAAAGTGAAAGAGTTGATTTAACTTCGTTAAAATTTGATCCTGGAGAAAGGTTACCAATTCGAAAGTATCATCCGAATGAGCGTGATGCAATAACAAGAATGTAGCTTCAAAATGGTCCTTTTCAACCAAAAACTCATCAATTTCCCCAGTCGAATTTTTATGGTGACTTACGTTGTTTTAATGCTGAATGGTTTCGTGAGTATGATTGGTTGGAGTATAGTGTAACAAAAGATGCATCATTTTGTCTTTATTGTTATTTGTTTCAAGATGAAAGCATTAATCAAGGAGGAGGCAATGTATTTTCAACCATAGGGTTTACAAGTTGGAATAAGAAGTGCAACCTTGATGAACATATTGGTAAGCCAAACAGTGTTCATAATAAATCAAGACGAAATTGTGAAGATTTATTGAGACAAAAATAATCCATTCAAAGTGCATTTGCTAAACAATCTGATCATCAAAAGTTAGAATATCGTACTCGTTTGGAAGCTGCAATTAATGTGATAAGATATCTTTTGAAGCAAGGATTGGCATTTCGGGGCCATCGTGAAGATGTATCCTCTTCTAATAGAGGTAATTATATTGAGCTCCTTGCTTGATATGCAAAGCTATGTGATAATATTGACAATGCATTTTAAAAACCTCCAAAGAATAATCAACTAACTTTTCCACGTATTCAAAAAGATATTATCAATGCATGTAAGATTGAAACAATTAAGTGAATAAATGAGGATTTAAATGATGATCACTTTTCCATCTTAGTTGATGAATCTCGTGATATTTCATGTAAGGAGCAAATGACTATTGTCTTACGATATGTTGATAGAAGGGGAAGTGTGATGGAACGATTTCTTGGTATTGTTCATATTCGTGATACTACTGCTTTGTCTTTAAAGAATGGAATTATTGGTTTGCTTGCTAAACATTCTTTAAGTCAATCTTATGTGGACAATGTTATAATGGAGCAAGTAATATGCAAGGTGATATAAATGGGCTAAAAAAATCGATGCAACAAGAAAGTAAAAGTGCTCATTCTATTCATTGTTTTGTTCATCAACTTCAATTAACTCTTGTTGCAGTTTCTAGAAGATGTGATGAAGTGCATAACTTTTGTTATTGGTTTCTGATATACTAAATATGGTGGGAGCTTTTTTCAAGCGTAGACATGAACTTCGCGAAGCTCAAGCAAAATAAATTGAAAAGGCATTACGTAAAGGTGAACTTGAAACTGGTAAGGGCTTCAATCAAGAATTAGGTCTTGCTAGAGCAGGTGATACTAGATGGGGATCTCATTACAAATCTTTTAACAATTTTATCTTCATGTTTGGTCCTATCATTTATGTACTTGATGTTATTGTTGTTAATGCTCGTTTTGAAGAGAAATGTAGGGGAAAAGGATATCTTATAGTATGTTTAACATTTGATGTTGTCTTCATGTTACATTTCATGCGCATTGTTTTAGCAATTACAAATGATCTAAATGTTGTTTTTCAAAAGAAAGAGCAAGACATTGCAAATGCCATGTCACTCGTTGGAGTAGCAAAGAATCGATTGCAACAACTATAGGATGAAGGTTAGGATTCACTTCTGAATGAGGTATCTAAGTTTTGTATCAAATATGATATTTTGGTACCTAAATTTGATGAGTTTTATGTTATCTGTGGAAGATCACGTCGTAGAATTGCTGAGTATACTATTTTACATCACTATCAAGTTGAAGTATTTTATAAGATTATTGATTGGCAACGTCAAGAACTCAATAATCGCTTTGATAAGGTGACAACTGATTTGCTTCTGGGAATTGCTTGCTTGAACCCAGATGATTCTTTTTCTAACCTTGATATGGAAAAGATATTGAGATTGGTTGAGTTATACCCTGATGATTTTGATAAATACTCTATAGTTGATCTTCGCTTTCAGCTTGAAAATGACATTGTTGATGTTAGAGATCATGATAAAAGGTTCTTCGGTCTTAAGGGACTTTCTAATCTTTCCAAGATACTCGTAGAGACGAAGAAGCACAAAACTTATCATCTTGTATTTCGACTAGTTAAATTTGATTTACTTTTGCCGATGGCTACCGCTACAGTTGAAAGAGTTTTCTTGGCGATGAAGTTAATTAAGACTGATTTACGAAATCAAATGGATGATGAACTTTTGAGTGGTTGTTTGGTGCCTTATATAGAGAAAGAAATATTTAGTACTATCCCCAATGAGGCTATTATGAATACATTTCAAAATATGATAACTCGTCGAGGAGAGTTGTAATAGTTTACTTGATTTATGTTTTATTAGTACATTTTAAATAATTTTTATTAATTTAGTATTTTTATATCAATTATTTATTATTTATTTATTTTTAAATATCGACACCACTTACAAAAAATTCTGCATACGCTACTATATGAAAGACTTCTTCACCTATAAACATTGGTGTTTCTTCCTTTGTGAAAGATCCCAAGAAAGATGAGATAGAGTGTTAGCCAAAAAAATATGAGAAGTATGAAATAATATTTACTATATAGTAGTGTAAGAGAGAGTTGATACAAAGAATAATATTCTAAGTCTTCAACTATATTGACTTAACACAAAAGAGAGTAATTATATGTTGAAGGAAGACGTTCTTTTGTGGAGCTTTGGACTCTTCAACTAATCTGGAGTTGTGCGACGTTGTTTGACTGTTGTATGCTGAAGGGGACAAGTCAAGAGTGATAATGCTGGATCGGTGTAGATTATGTCGCAGTGGACTTGAATCTCCTTAAAGAGAGCGAGATATCCGTGTTTTAACCTTAATATTTGTTTATTCATTTTTTGTCATTTTATTTTCAACCGTAATATTTTATATATATGATATATTACACCAACATATACAATCTACTATAACAACAAAGTATAATTTGAGTTGTTATCTAGAACATATATTATTAATAAAAATATATCTTTTGAATGCATAATCAATTACGTACCTTGACTTAACTCTGAGTTAATTCAACTCATCTGATCAGCTATGAATTAAATGAACAGAAAGAATGGTAGAAGTAGCTAATAGCTAGAGAGGGATTAATTTGTACGAAAATTCAACGATAAACAGTAGAACAAAGAAAGTGACAAGTGCCACATCTCTATGTTTTTTTTTTTTCCTCTTTTAATTTAATGTTGCATAGTAAGTCTCTAAAATTTGACAACAACGATTGTGGTAGACCTGATAAGTACTCTTTCATCTTTTCTTAAAATTTTCAAATTTGAATCCCTCTAGGTACAAAATTGCCTTTGTGAGAAAATATTTTAACCTCAATATGAAACTTTTCGGCATGAAGCTAAATTTAATTGGGCTTCAATACGAATACGGAATATAAAAAGGAAAAAAACTCTGGTGGGATGTTAGCAGAGAGTACTGTTAGTGATAGCACAAAATTGTGCAGAAGAGCACATGCATTAGCTTAACATGGAGTCAGACTTTAGTTATTCAACACTACTTCCCTTGACTCACTGCTCCAACTGACCTCTTCTCTTCTATATATTGCATTTTTTATTTTCACACAGTATTCACTAGAAAAAATTTCATAAACAGCGTTATTAGTGTTCATTTTTATAGAAATAATTGCTAAATTTTTACAATATTTTAAAACGTAACAGCGTTTTGATTCAAACTGTAGCAAAATACATATATTAACGTCATATAATATCTCATTGTAAATGAAAATTACACGAATACTATATCTTTTTTCTTTATTTTATTTTCATTCGATGTCCGGTATTCATATTAGACCCCGATTAATTCCTCATTGGATATGTGAGTGTGGGAAGTGATGACTAGTGTTTTTAGATAGTGTATATATATGTGTGTAATGTAATTTGTTCAAAGTATCACTATAAAGAGTAATATGTAGATCGAAATTACAAGTTCAAGTAATTATTCCTATTAGTATCCACATTAAATTGAATTGTGTTGGTGTATATGTATTTTATTATTAAAATAAAACATTAAGTGCATATGTCAGTAAGTATAAATTGTGGTAGAAGATGACTATAGGTTCTTGTAACTTGTATGACTATTAATTCTTGTCACTCATATGACCATTAATATCTTGTAACTTACGTAACATCTATCACATTTATCTACCCACATTGTTACCCCTCATTCTACTCATTGATTATATAAAAGACTTCTTCACCTATAAATAGTACTGTTTCTTCTTTTGTGAAGGGTCCTAAGAAAAATGAGAAGTGTGAAATACAATATTTTAGTGTGTAGTAGTGGGAATAAGAGTTGAGACAAAGAAAGCAATTATAAGTCTTCAACTATATTCACTATATATAAGAGAGTAATCATATGTTGAAGAAGGTTTTTTTGTTGTGGAGCTTTGCACTTTTTAACTAATCCGAATTTGCTTGAGTTGTACGATGTTATTGGGTTGTTGTATCATGGAGGGGACAATTCAAGAGTAATATTGCTAGATCGATGTAGATTATGCCACAGTGGGCTTGAATCTCCTTAAAGATAACAAGATCTCCGCACCTCAGCCTAAAGATTTAATTTGTTTATTCATTTTTGTTATTTTATTTTCAACTGTAATTTATTATATTTATGGTATATTACACCAAAAAATTGTGTCATGTAAAACCTGTTAAAAGGAGTAATATGTTAAACTGAAATCACTACTAGAAAAGTGAGAAGTTGTGTTCACTTTTCCTAGACAAAATTATGAAATGATTGTTGGTTTTAAATGTGTGAATAAGAAATGAAGGGTTGTGACTTTGTTGAAGTGTTGTGACCTTTGAAGAAACCTTACCCCTATACAAGAACCATGTTCTTGTACTTTTGTCGAGACAAACAAAACACAACACAATTAAACAGAGATTTTATCGTGGAAACCTTCCTACCTCAAGGAAGGTAAAAACCACACCACAATCTTATTTACTTCAAGATTCACGTCTTTTTTAGGATTACAACTCAAACGGAACTAACTCTAGTACCTTTAACTCTCCAACGATTAACTATAATCGAAGACTCAACTCTCCAAGAAGTCAAACTCGCTTCTTGTTACAATTCTCTCCCCCAAAAAGTCAAACCCACTTCTTGTTACAATTCTCTCAAGACTTTACTTTTCAAGAAGTCAAACCTGCTTCTTGTTACAATTCTCTTAAGACTATGCTCTCCAAGAAGTCAAACTCACTTCTTGTTACACAATCTAGAAATTATTACAACTCAATAATAAACCTAGAACAAATCAACAAAGACTAATAACCCTAGACTTTAATTGATCAGACTTCAACAATCAATAGTTCAGGCTCAAACACAACTCGTGAACCTGATCCTCGTATTGTTGCGACGAAGCGTGAACCTGGTCCTCGTGTTGCTGTGATAAAGCCTTGCGATTTTGCTCCAATGACTATTGCTCTCAAGATGATGAATTTCGTGAATATGCAATATGTATCGTTCTGATTTTGCTGAAAAATTCTCTCAATTTGTGTTTATGCAAAGACAACTATTTTCCTTCTTCGGCTTGAACCTTTTATAGAGATTGATTTGCTTTCATCAACTTCTACAAGGAAAGGAATAACAAATCATTTTCCTTTTTGAACTTATCTATATTTACTTCTTTCCTTATTTGACTTGAATTGCTAATTCTTTATTTCTTTTCTTATTTGACTTGAATTGCTACTTCTTTATTTATTTATTTCTTTATTTCCCTCCTTTCTTTATTTCTTTCCTTATTTGTTTTTTTCCTGCTTTATTTTTTTTCCTTAATTGTTTTTTTCCTTCTTTTCCTTCTTTATTTCTTTCCTTCTTTGCTCCTGTGTTTCAACTCTTTCTTTCTTTATTTTTTCGCTCCTTTATTTTTGCACTTTTTCTTCTTTGCCACAATCTCTCATATTTGTACAGGTTGATTGTAGTCACGTCTGAGAACCTGGTTGACCTGATAGAGTACACATAAGGCAACAAGTAGTGAACCATGTTCACTTTATCAATCATCAAAAGTATTTTATATGTTCTCCAACTTCCTCAACAACCTCTATGAAATGTTATGTCTTTTCTAAAGAATTGTGACCATTTGAAAGGTTGTGCCTTTTTCCAAAGGGTTGTGACCTTCCCGAAAGGTTGTCATTTTATAAAAAAAATTGTGACCTTTATCATTTCTTAGCTATAAATGGAGAGAGTTTCTCTTATTTTTTGCATTGAATTCTTCCTTTCTTTTGCATATATTTCTTACAAAACAAAATCAATTGATCGTGTCTGTGTGTGTGATCTCGTTGTTATCCTTTTGAGTTTGTTGAAATTATCGAAGTTTGAGGTACAATTACTTCTTTAATTGTTAATCTGCTTCATCTTGAGAGGAATTAATTTACAATCTCGCGTACTTGAAGAGATTGAATTTCTTAAGAATATACAGTGTGTTATGTGGACTCGGATAGTTCTTTTCTTTTTCTTTTCATATTTTATTATTTCTGATTTGCTAATCTGAATACAGGAGATAACAGTGGTATCTTCTCTCTCAATTTGAATTACAACTTGTTTACAGAAAAAAATTATTTTGTGCCAGGCACACATAGTGTCAGTTGTGTGAGGCCTTCTTGGGATGCCATTTGTATATTGTGGGGCCCATATTGTACTTGATTCATTTCCTTACTTTTTTCTTTCAATTTAATCTTTTCTTTTACTTTTTTCTTTCTTACTTGCATTTTCTTTTTTTCCTTGTCAACTCTTAGTGTAATTTTATTTTAATAGAAAGAAACTTTGGAACTCACCCACTATATATATATATATCATTTATTTGATGGAAATTAAAGTAATATGTTAGATGAAATTAAATTAATTCTTTTTAAATAAATTCGAAGAGATTGAAGATAGTGAAACTAAAATAAATAAATTGAACTCTCACAAAAAAGTGAAAATTCATATAATCAACCAATTGAGCTACTAAAATTCAATCGGTATTATTTATTACATTTAAATCCACAATTTAATTTTAATTATTTAAATTTTAGCCATTAATTTATTTTTTGAGATTTTCAATTTTAACCGCTCAATTCTTAATTATCAAATATGTTTTATTTTTGATTATTCTATAACCACTTAATGTATTTGAATGCTTTATATTAATAATAATGTATTAATGATATCAAGCACTCAATTATTTTTTCTTTTTTTATAATTGTAAAATTCTCTACTTCTGTGGTATGTATCCAATAATTATTGCTAATATTAATTTTTTGTGTTTCTTGTTCAAGATTTTCTTTTTAAATTTTCTTTATGTTAAGCGTTTCAAAATGTGAAACGAAACTTTTTATAAATTCATTTTTTCTCTTGTGTGTTACAAGAATTAATAGTAAAAAAGAGTCAACCAAGTGAATTTGTGAAAGCATAAAATAATAGTAGTATGAATATATTTTTTTGCACTAAGAGGTAGGACTTAAAAAAAAAAACTATAAAAACATTGATTAAAAAAGGGTGCAAAGATAAAATAGAAAAAGGGTTTTGCAAAGGAAAAAAAATGCAGATAAAGAAAAGACTAATTTTGAGAAAATGGAAGAAGAAAAGGCCGACAAAAACACTTGTCAAAAGGAAAGGGTGCCCTCATACAACTATTATTGATTGTGCCTCAACCACAGTAAATTTTTTCTTGTTTACAAAGTTTTAATATTTTTCTCCCACTTTTGATATGATATCATCTTAGTGATTTTACAAGTTTTATTGTAGTTATATGTTAATACAAGAATATATATATATATATAGAGAGAGAGAGGGGGGATGCAAAAAGGTTGGGAAAGAGAGACAAGAATGACATATAAACGCTGGATTGATTAGGTTTTCCCCTTGTTGGCTGTGCCCTGTGGGGTAACTAAACTGACTTTTCATAAATATAGCTCCACAAATTAAAGACACATTTAATTAGCTCTACATTTCGAATTTATTATTTCAACTCTAAATGTATTTATTATTTCAACTCTTACTCTTGAGAATACTGATACATAAGAAAATAATAAAGAGAATTCATAATACATAATTAAAAAATGAAAATTTATTTATACTGCGTAATTTTTGACAATGAAATTTTCTTTCGTCACTATTAATTTTTTTTAATAAATAATTAATTGTGAACTGCATAATCATGAAAAAGTACTTTTAAATTGAGACAAACAATAAATTAGAATAATTTAATCAAACTTTTCTTAATTCAACAAATAAAAAAACATGACAAAGTATTTCAGAACGAAAAAGCAGTGATATTGTAAACAATCAATCAGATTGATTTTTTAATGATTTAATGGAAAGACATAGTTGAAGTGAGAGTTGAGATATTGGCCATTATTATTATTATTATTATTATTATTATTTTTATTTTTATTTTTATTTTGTGATATATGAATGAATGACTAAAGAGAGAACAAAAACTGAGTAAAGATTTTGTATCTTTTGGGGAGTGTTTGGTGTAATAATACTATTTGGTTCTGACTTCGATTCCCCCGTAATTCTCGCGCTACAAACCAGAAAGGGACCTCTTTTCACATTACCTTTTTTGGCCCCCCTCCCCCAAATAGTTCCCTACTTCATTTATCAACTTTTTCTCTAAACTCTTTTTTACGAAAATATTATTAAAAAATTTATTAAATAATCTTTGTTAATATGCATATTTACTGCTAAAAAATATTTTTACCACAATATATATTACAGTTGAAATGAATAAAATTGTTTCGACAAAGTAAGTGTGCAGATGAACATCTTTAAGTTATTCATTCTTAGTTGTTGGTCGTCGTGAAATAGAAAGAGTTTATTACATTAATTCACAAAGTTGGTAATATATATATATATATGCTTGATTTTTTAAAATCTAGAAATAAGCCAGCTAAATCTACTTAACTCCAATCATTATCACGTGTAATTATTTTGAAGTCAAGTAAGGTTTAACCCGTACATGTTGATTAATTAATGACAATTTGAACTGCAAGATTACTATTACAATTATTAATTAATCCCCAAGTAAGGTTTAACCCGTACATGTTGATTAATTAATGACAATTTGAACTGCAAGATTACTATTACAATTATTAATTAATCCCCTATCAACAATAGTACAAAAAACTTTCCATTGGGGGACCATTTATTTACTGTTTGACTAACCCTATGATGTTAAATAAAAGATTAGAAAAATCAGCTAGCAATATCCTAATATATTTGTTTGATAATGATAGGTTCATTTAACAATAATCAAATAAAATAAATCAGAATCCGAGAAGATAATTAATATGTGATTCGTACATTAGGATTCATGTATCAGTTTGTACTATATGCAACGTGTCGTGGATTAGTGTGGTTCACTTAATTATACTATTTTCTAAGCAAATTGGATGGGGTTTCACTTATCATCATAGTTATTCCTTTTCTAGTACTGTTGCTACAACATTATTTGATTCCAAATACTCTAATTAGAGTTTCTCAACCATATTACTTAGACTTCAATAAAAATAATTAGAAGTGTAATTCTTTTAATTATGGTAATCTTATCTTATAAATCTATAATAAGCATCTCTTTCCATGTCATAATCCACCATTATGTTATTGCTACTTTCCAAATGACAATTATTTAAGACTTGAAAATCATAATCTTACTTGTAAACCACCTAATTAAAAGGTATTTAATTATGTTGACTCAATCATGTTAAAAATCTTTACCTTTTAACCATAAAAAAGATATAAATAATTTTCACTTTTAGGTAACGTAGGCTCACTAAACAAAATAAATCTGCATGTAATTATAAATTGATGACAAAGGACAATGCTACCTTTCTCCTCGCTTTGCAACCTTTATGGAAAATATTAAAATACATTAACACTTTAGTTAATTAAAGATTAAGAAAGTAATAATGATCCTTTGTCACTTTTTTATCAAACTATATTTTTACACCTAAAATAGCACGACATTATAAAACAACCTATCTAATCAATGTCTTTAAGAATAATCCTATTTGGCTCATAAGAAGAACTCAGTATTTGTGAAAATCTCTCTATTTGACTCAAAACACGCGTTGATGTCTTCAAAAATAACCTCTCTATTTTCATAAAATACAATAAAATATATGTACATATTAATGTCATCAAGCTTTCTTTATAAAATTACACTGAATATATTATAACATATTGGAAATCCATTTTATTATTATTGGATAAGCAATTGAACTAGTATATTAAGGTTTAATTTTATTGATAAATTAGATTAGACAGTGTAACCACCTGATAGCTTTTTCCTTGATCCCCGTTGCCTTGATTCCCTTATAAGAAGCTATCAAAAATTAATTCCTTTTCTGCCTGTTCTATTTTTAGATTATAATTTGATTTCTTCTTTTTAACTTAAGAGTCACATAATTGGATTTCAGTATTAAATTTCGTTCAAACTTGTACTCATGACTTAGAATCAAATTCAATATTTGATAAATTTTAATCTG